CAAATTTTCTTAAATGTTTTGATGGACTTTAAAGTGGAGTTTATTTTCCATGATTTTCCCCCATAATTACAGTGAGATTGTAAACTGGGCTATATATTTATTAATTGGACTCTGCTTGAAATCTTATASTTCTGCTGCATGTTAATTGGCTTTGGTTAATTTATTAATGTATTACTGTTTAATTACAGAATGATTTTGGAAGTATTTGGAATACTTTATCATACCGACCCCAAATGACCTCTGTATTTTAAATTGTTCATCTACTTAGAGCTACAAATTCTGTTGGAATTGTTTTGTTTTACAGGATCTACAACTTGAGGAATTAAAGCAGCAGATTTCTACATTAAAATGTCAAAATGAACAGCTCCAAACAGCAGTCACACAGCAAGCATCTCAGATTCAGCAGCAAAAGGATCAGTATAATCTTCTTAAAGTACAGCTAGGTAAGTATAACTACACATCAGCATTATTGTGTCCAGGTCATTATCTCCTCAAGAGCTTGACAAATCAAAAGGATTTTTTCTCTAGATTTGTCTTTCTTTAACCTTAATCATTATGACAAAAAATGTAAATCAGATTTTAAAGCAAAATGTTTTGGTAACTAAGTGTAGTTAAGACTAGATCTTTAAAATTTGAAGTCTAGGACCCTTGATACCTGTTTGATTATCTGACCCATTGGCTGTCAACCACAATTGCATGTTAGAATCTTGAGAAACTTTTAAAAACATACAAATGTTGAAACCCCACTGGAGTTTCTGATTTGATTAGTCTAGGTTTGGATCTGGGCATCAATAATTATTCTAAGCTCCCTTGGTGATTTTAATATATAGCCAGTTGAGAATAACTAATCTAATCTTTCAACTTTCTCATCTGCAAAATGGAAATAGTAAAATTTGTGTCATCTGAGAATTAAATGAAATTTTATGTATGTGTTTGTGTGCTTGTATGTATGTTTGTATGTATGTAGTTCTAGTTCAGTCTCTAGCAAATAGTCAGAGTCATCTGTTTGTAAATAATATTATCCTAATAATATTTGTGATTGGAATGCTGGTTACTTAGAAATATGAAGTTTGTTTTATGTATACAAGGGTGACTAAATATTTCAGGAAAAAAAAATTTCTTCCTGTATTTAGGACAATATGTCAGGTATTGTAGCCCATATATAAAGTTATTCCTCTGGGAAGAATTTTTAAAGGGACTTTATTTTACATTCATTGTTAGAATTGAAATTGAAACTACTCTAATTCTTTTTTTTAATTATTTTTTATTCTAATTTGTTATTTACGACAACAGAATGCATTAGAAACTAATTCTTAATCATAAATCACCAAATCATACAATTTAGGCAAAACTATGTATTTTCCTGCTAGAAACCCTGGAAGTATCATTAGTTCTCTATTTTTATCAATAAAAAATGAGATGCAAAGATGAGATGTGATTGCAAAATTACTGCCAAATTGAGATAAAGAAGTTATAGTTAAATCTCATATTAATCTATTTTCAGTCTTCTGGTTCAAAAATGAAAAACTTTCATTTTATGCTAGCTTTTTAAATTTTTTTCCATCTAATAGGAAAAGACAATCAGCATCAAGGTCCTTACAATAATGGGGCTCAGATGAATGGTATTCAGCCAGAAGAAATTAGTAGATTACGAGAAGAGATAGAAGAGTTAAAAAGTAATCGAGAACTTTTACAAACCCAACTTGCTGAAAAAGACTCTTTGATTGAAAATTTGGTAAGTAAAAATATAAATGAATAAGAAGTTGAGAATAATTCTCATTCTCTTGATTATTCATTTTGTTATGTTTGTAGAGTACTGGGGATTGAACCCCTGGCCTATACATGGTAAGTGGGCACTCTGCCACTGAGCTACATCCTGAGCACTGTTTATTTTGCTGGAACCCTTATGCCGAAGTATCATACATTAAAATTTTAGAATATGAACTTTGAAGTTAGACTGTCTAAGCTTCAGTGCTTCCTAAGTAATTTAATTTAAGCAGCAAAGTAAACCTCTTTAAACTTGTTTTCTAATTTATAAATTGTTGGAGGTAATGTCTGTCTCATTGTTGTGAAATTTAAATGAGATAACTCTTTTATTTATTTTTTTAATATAGTTTTTAGTTGTAGATAGACCCAATATCTTTATTTTTATGTGGTGCTGAGGATGGAACCCATGGCCTCATGCATACAAGGCAAGCACTCTTACCACTGAGCTACAACCCCAGCCTGAAATAACTCTTTTAATACATAAACTTATTAGCTATGAAGAAGTCATAATATGGGTTGAAATTTTATCTTGCATAAAAAAATTAACATTGATGTGAAAGTTTTGGGTAAACATTTGTAAGGTAGAGTTTATGTGTGTACAGTTCTGCTTTTGTTTTTTTCCTTTCTCATTAAATTGTTTTTATTTCATAGTTCATTTCTGTTTTCCTTGTAGAAATCTTCCCAAACTGCTTCTGACATGAATGAACAGTCTTCAACTAAAGATTCTGAACAAATTGCAGAATTAAAACAGGTAATTTTCCTGTCCAGAAAGTTGGAATTGGAAAAGAGTAAACTAGCATATATCTCAGATGACTCCAGCTGAAAAACAAAATAACTTTTTTTCATGGTAATAACTAAATAATGTAGTAATTGGAAGAAAAACTTAGAAAATTATCAGGCTCATTAGTATATCACCACTAAACAGATTTTGTTTGGGGGTTTTTGTTTTGAAGTTACCTTTTCTCTCACTTCTTCATTCCATCATTTCCCTCTTATTATTAAAAGGAATTTTCTTTAAAAAATTCAAACAATACTAATATTAGAACCCAGGACTGACTTCCTCCTCTGTCAGCTAGCTGACCTTAGTGCACTSGTCTGAGAGAGGAGWAACTGTCCATAGATTGTGACTTATTTTTATAATGTCTGCATACTTCAGAGTAGATTCTAAAATCAGGTCTTTTTTATTTTTCAAATCACCTTCACTAAGGATTTTCAGATCTCCAGTATGTCCATAATGTTTTGCTTGTGTGGGGAAGATTAATAATGCTATTTGGGTTTTAGAAAGTCTACCTATTATAGAACTGTCTCAAAATGTAAAGAAATTAAGTATACATATTACATATTAAGGTTACATATTACATATGACTTTATATTACATATAAGGTTACATATTAACCTTAATTTGTAAATCCCAAGTAAAAACTTTATTATTTAATTATGTGACCCAGTAAAACTTTGATGTGATATTTTCACAGAAGAAAATTATCTTTTAGTTTTGTATTTTTTCCAATTTTCTTTTATAAACTTTAGATTGTTAAAAATACACATTTTTAAAAATGATGGTTTTGTTAACTAGTAATATAGGCTTTTGTTAATTGTAATATATATCATTAAATACTGTGTAAAAAGAAAACAAAAATGATCTATAATGTTACTATCCATATAACTCATTTTGAGGACTAAAAAACCAGGAGAGTTAAAGAAAAACCACATATACACCTAACAGAAATTTTAAAGAAAACAAGAAAAAAGATTTTTTTATATGCCTGCATTCTGCTGCCTACTCAATGGTGACAAACATTATAAATGTCCCAGGTGGGGGACATTTCCTTATAACTCCTGGTTAAAAAACCACCATTTTAATTGCTTTTCTTTTATTGTATTTTTGTGGGATAGGGAAGAAAAGGATTAAAAACATTGGGAAGTTCATTATTATAAGCTTTCAGTTAACACATTTTCACCGTAGTATTATTTTATCTGTGTTTGAACARTGAACCTCCAGTTTGAGAGGGTAGGGTCAAGAAAGGAAATCATTTTTTTAAGATTTATTTCTGTAAACATATATTTCCTTGATGAAATTAATACTGCTTAATGGTATGATTCAACTTCTTTTGTTTCTTAGGAACTGGCAACTTTAAAGTC